CACCAATCATCCAAGTGACTTCTTTTGTCTCAGCTGACAGCAGGATTCCCCAACTTTATTAAGTCGACTTGTACCACAAGCCATCACATATAAATCAGTATTTAAGGTTTGATTCTCATCATCCACTGGAGCACAAACTGGGTGTTATCAGGATGCTACTACACAGAGCGAACACAATCCCCAGAGACACTGTGCAAAGCGAAGCAGACGAACATCATATCAAAAAGCCCAGAGTAAATGTGGTTATCCCAGCTGGACATTTGACAAAACTGGGAAAGGCTTTCAAAGCCCACCACAAGGATCAGGCTCCCAGCTGCAAACTGAGGAATATAGTGTACGCTGTTAACTGCCAGGAGGATTGCTGTGTGTATATATATATCAGGGAAAACAAGTCCTAAGCAGACCTACAGGCCAGTGGACATTGTTTCAATGATGAGCATGTACACATCCTGGACAGGGGCGAACGCTGGTTTGAGCGGGGAGTCAAAGAGGCCATTTACGTGAAAAGGAGCCATCTCTGAATCGAGGAGGCGGCCTAAGGGTACATATTTCACCATCTTACAATGCTGTGATCGCAGCCATTCCCCAACTCTCTGTGATTAATACCGGTGGCTATTGGTCAGTGGTCATGACAATTTGCATATTAATGATCATGAAACTGACCTCATGGCCCATTGTTAGTCATTATTAGTCAGTAGTTCTACTTTCAGTCATTATGCAAATATGCTGTTTATGATGTTGGGAAACCTGAAGTCAGCCGAGACTGAAGAAGTCAGTCAGATGAGTGACAAAACATTTCTCCACTGAAAATGCCACCACAAGATGGCATCATATTAACCCCTTTTTCGCCATAAAGTCAACTTCTTGTTAGAATATTCAAATTCATGTCATGCTGCTTCTTGCGTGTCTCTTCTGTTGAGGTGTTTGAGTAAGGGCATGAATGCCATCGTGGAGATCCAGACCCAGAGGCCCGTGTCATTAGAGCTGTACAAAGACTATAAGGAGCTGGGCCGCTTCATGCTGCGATATGTTGGCTCCACCATCGCCGCGGGGGTTGTCACTGAGGTAATGAGTTGGATCCTGTGGCAAAATAGTCCCACTTCCCCCGTTTAATAAAGTACTCTTACGCCATTTAATTTTTCTTTCCTGCAGATCAAAGAATGAAGACCATTTCCGCCGACACAGAGCCAGCTAGCCTGACCTTGCTCTGGAGACTGCATGCAGCCAGAGACAAAATGCAATTCAGAGAGATCAAAGAAACGCCGCTCATGGAGTCAGAGCGTCTTATTCATCCATCCATTTATCCAATCAGTGTAGCAGCTACTCCACCTGTCTGCCCTGAACATCACTAACTGCACAGATACCAAGTGTGTGGCAAGATGTCACAAAATAAACTCCCAATGCATCCGCCAGCTCTCACATCTCAACTCTGTGTTGCTGAGCGTCCTCCTCAGTCATACAGGCGCACTACCCAGCTCCTGCTCACTCCACCTTTATCTGTCAGTAAAGCCTGTTGCTCTTAAATTGATTCCACTTGATTAAACCAATGTTTTCTTTAGACTCTGAAAGACCGATCCTACCCTGCAGAGCATCTCACAGTGATGGGTTTAACTATGTTCTTTTTGAAGGAGCTGTAATAAATCGGATAACACTGACTTTTATTTAAGGAGTGAAAGAACAAGTCCATGTTTTTCCCCTCTCTGCTTCTATGCATGAGGGGTCAGCACTGGGTTTACACTGCCCCGTTTTCCTTGATGAGGCTTTTCTAATCAAAACTAAAATTAACTATTGTAACTAATGTTACGTTATGTGGGACTCTAAAGGGCAAAATAGTATCTTTTTTTTAAAACTAGAACTATTTTTATTTATTTTAATTTCGATAACCGAAGGGATGAAGTTTAATGCATTCAAATGTTTACTCTAACCAGGGTGGAGTAGTTTAAGAACAAAAAAGTGAAAATTATCATTTCTACTTGGAGAAGGCATTTCTCATTTATGGTGAAACAATAATAGAGTTATTACTGATTTTCTTCTGCAAATCAGCAGAAAGATGTTGTTTGAAGACCTGGTTTGATTTCCCTCTTTATTTCTTTTTCTTTTTTTAAACAAAGGCTCATCTGAGTGCAGTTTGGGGTTCAAAGAGTTGTATCATTTCTGTGCAAAAAAAGAAAGAAGAAAAAATGAACATGACATCAGCAACTTGTGGTTTGAGTTTTGATTTCTGCATCTGAGAAAATCCTTTCATCTAGTGACTCTTCGTTATTATAATCCCATAAGCCAAGAAAAACAAACCTTTCTGGAAGGGCCATCTTCAGTAAAAGTGTTGCATGTGAAGTTGAACAAAGCTTGGCTTTTGTCCTGACAGTCTCACAGCTAGAATGTAAATGCCGGCTTAATAATGTGAAATAATTTTACAAAATGCTCACAATTGTGACCCCCACACACTTTTTTTTTTTTAAAGCTCTGACGCATGTTGACGAACAACCTACTCATTGTCACCTCTAATTGCGCACAATTTAGGGTGAGAGTTCAATGAGAGTTAAGTTTCCATTCTCTTTTTCTCTTTGGAAAAAACAGAAATATAGTGGTTGTTTTTTTGCGTAGGTGCTAATGTGACGTTCCCTGAGGTAAAACGGCTGAAGAGATGAAATATGAAAGGACGAACGTGTCCTGTAGAGCGAGTATACAAGAATTCTCCAAACACAAACACAATGATTCATTCAAAAACTGCTGGACGATATGTTCAGCAGTTTTTGTCACTGTTAACAAATGCATGCGGGCCATGACCATGTAACTTCTTAGTATCTTCTTTTAGTCCATTCTGTTACATTTTCTTGTGATTGTTGCCAGCTTATAGACCGCAATGACATGATAGCATCACACAGTTGTTGCAGATTTATCAGTTGCAAATCTGTAATGCAAATCCCATTCCTCCACATCCCAAAGACGCTCTATTGCAAAACCTGTTAGTTGTTATCTTGCTTGAAGCAGCCGGCACAAGATGTGTACGTTGTGATTCTAAAGAGATAGACATGATCAGCAACAATTCTGGGATAGGCTGTGGGGTTTTAAACAAGGCTGTCAGGATTAGAACCCGGTGTGGTCTGCTGCTGCAGCCCATCTGCTTCAAGGTTCAGTGTGCAAGTTCAGAGATTCTTTTCTGCAGACTTTGATTGTAACAAGTAGAGTTATTGTGATAAACATCAACAAGACATTTTCACCCAAAGAGCTGCTGCTTTGGATATTTTCTCTATCAGGCCATCCTTTGTAAGCCCTGGAGATCAGCAGTTTCTGGAATACTCAAACCAGCATGTCTGGCACCAACAATCATGCCCCATTTAAAGTCACTTAAATCCCTTTTCTTCCCCATCCTGATGCTCAGTTAACTTCAGCAGATTGTTTTGATCATATCTACATGAGTAACTGTACAAGGTGATGCTACTGGATGATTGGATACTTACATTAATATAAATGAATGTACATAAATATTATAATGAACTACATAGGTGTAAACTGTATATGTATGCTTTGGGATTTAACTTCATGGATCTAGTGTCCATGTCAGTAAGTGATCTTTAAGTCATTCACAGGCCTCAGGAAGAAATCCTGCACTAGTGAGCAACTCAGCGTGAAAGTTGCTTAGTTGCCACAGGATGTTAGTGGTCATTACGCAGACACGCTACTCACCTTACAGGAAAATATATGTGCTGCAAAAAAAAACCAACAAAAAAAAAAAACCAGGAGTAGGAAAACGATGAGAACTTTGGTTAGTGGTATGAGTTTTTTGGCTCATATCATAATAGTGAATCACGTTCTCTGTAAGTGGATGAGTAATGTGATGGCTTCGTGGGCAGTCACCTTTGAATCAGCACTTCCTCAAGGAGTTGTGTACACAAATACAGTTGAAAGCACTTTAGGTGCTGTAAATTATGTTAATGTTTTTTGTTTTTGTTTAAAAAAAACACAGTTATATCTTTTCATTGAGGTTCAGATATTAGCAGTGTTGGATTACAACCATGTACACATTGTACAGTCACAGAAATATAGCCACAGTTATAAAGGTGCAAAAATGTCCGTCTGTAAGGCAAAATAGCAGAGACATCTCTTCTCCAGGTATCACTAAACTCACCGTTTGGACTTGGCGGCTGACTGTGAACCAACACATTTCCTTTTGCTTTGCTATTTGCGAGTAGGGTCATGCTTTAGAGCTACGCAAGCTGATGAATGACCTCTTTTTAGTTTCAAAGAGACATGAAGGGTATTTCCCAAAGCCTGACCTGCATAGATCCATCCTCTTGGTCTCCTCCTCAGTCATACCGGTTACATGATTGCCTCAGAAGCGCTATGCACTAAACTGTGAACTGAATGATCAAATTGAGCTAGCGCTGCAAAAACTTATGAGGGGTGTGGATGTTTAAGTTTTTTTTATGACCAAAAAGTATGAATTAGTGTAATTTATAGTTATAATTTGAAGTATATCAGTAGAATTCAACTAAGGGGGTACAGTGACATCCCTCGGCTGCCCTGGACCTCCAAGGCCCATCCAAGATTGTGAGGCCATACATGCAATGTCCATTTAAACTTATAGACAAGTAAATAGTGTCATGCGACATATACCTGACATTTTGTGTCCGTCTTTCTGAAACAAAACGGCTTCACCTCATTCATTTAACCACCAGCAGGAGTAGATCACCCAGTTTTATGATATATGAAGCAGCCTGTGAGAATAAACATAAAACTTTTCAGACCTCTGCAGTTTTTCTAAACACACCTAAAGTCACTCAGATGCTTGAATATTGTCTATGAACACTGGAAAGCCACATTTATCTTAACTATCTGAACTTTGTGTTGAGCAGACATATTGCCATGATATTAATTAAGGTTCTCTTTAAGATACTGTGTGTAGAAAAAGTGTTTATTCTTTCAGGCTCAAAGATCTGTGTGAATAAGGTCTGATAAAGAGTTAGGCAATAGGATCATCAGAGAGTAAGCCCCTCCTTTGGAGGCCCAGTGTTTGTCAGGTTAGCAGTACGTGCAGTCATCGTTTTCTCTGGGAAGTGAACTGGTGTTACTTTGGCGCCTGTAATTAACAAGCATGTCGAAAACGTCAGAAGAGCGCTCACTTTTGGTTCTGGAGAACTACATCGGAGGAAAGTTCGTCTCTTGTCGGAGTTACATCGACTCCTACGACCCGTCAACTGGCGAGGTCTACTGCAAAGTGCCGGACAGTGGCAAGGAGGAGGTGGGGATCAAGTTAAAACCATCTGCAAAACCAAGAGGTTGAGATTTGAATGAATCCTTGCATATGTTTAGACATGTTTGTATAAGTCCTGCTGTGTGTTTGCATTAGGCTGGACTGACAGCTTTCTGCAGAGGTGTCTTATTTAAATACAATTTCTTTTTTCTGTACTAAGCTGCAATATCACAACATTTGCACAAGAATATTTTTTGCATTGAGTTGGATTGCTTGTTATTACAAATCCTGTTGTCAGATTTAAAGGCCTTTGACTCAGCAATATTAGTACATTTTAGTGTATGTGTTTTGATGCATGCTTAATCATCCAGGTAGGAAAGTCCCAGAAAGTCTATTGTGTTCATCTAGACATTGCATTATCACTGGGAGAAATTTTTGTCACTCATCCGAGGGACTTCTTCCGTGTCAGGGACTTAAGAGATGAACAGAACAAACTTTCTGAATGAGGTTTGAGGTTTCAGGTTAGTGCGTTGCATAAAATGTGGTTTCAGAAAAAGCCACCTTTGAGCTTTGCAGAGCAAGCAATCAAGTAATCATTAAACACATCAGTTAACTTCAGCTGTTCATGTTTGACCTTCTTCAAAAATGTAGTGTTTTGTTGAAATGCATCCGTGTACATATTATTGTAGTTAACAATATTCTTAAGTCCTCTGAACTCCTTAGAAATTAATATAAAGGATCAGCTTTTTAAGATTTTAAGAGTGTATCAATAAAATGTCACTTAAACAATCCTGCGTATTCTCTCAAAGTGGAATCAAGCTCTATTCTTGGACGTGATCGTGCTTAATTGTGCAGTTTGCTTATACCTCATCTCATGCCTGCAGGTGGATGCAGCAGTGGCAGCAGCTAAAGAAGCGTTCCCCGAATGGTCTGCATGCAGCCCAGAGCAGCGAGCGAAGATCCTCCACAAACTGGCTGACCTGATTGAGGCCAACCTTGAGGAGTTTGCACAAGCTGAGTCCAAAGATCAAGGTTGCTTAGACTGTCTTATATGTTGCCACCTTAGAAATCAGGTCACTAATGCAGGAATAGAAATGAGTGGCTCAGAAATCACTTTTTATTAATCAAATACTGATTCATGAATGTCTAATCTTGTACTCTGTCTCAAAAATGTGTAGCCAACTGCTTCATTTGCCCTTTGATGCTCACTTCAGAATCTTTGTAGGTAAAACGATAACAGCTGCACGGACTGTGGATATTCCCCGGGCAGCGTACAACTTCCGCTTCTTTTCGACATCCATGCTTCACCACACCACCGACTGCAGCCCAATGGACCACATGGGCTGCCTGAACTACACTATCCGCTGCCCCGTGGGAGTGGGTGAGCACTTAGGCTGCTTGCAGTGAAACCTTCAGATGACCCATTTGTCCTGTGTATGTGCTCTTAAATGGCCTTTGGTGTGTTTTTTAGCTGGTTTGATCAGTCCCTGGAATCTGCCCCTGTACCTTCTGACCTGGAAGATTGCACCTGCAATCGCTGCAGGCAACACAGTGGTGGCCAAACCCAGCGAGATGACCTCTGTGACCGCCTGGATGCTGTGCAAGTTGATGCAGCAAGCAGGTAGGACTACAGGACCCACAGTGCAATGTCATGCGGATGGAGTTAAAGCAAAGCAAAAAACATAACTCATTAAGGTATTTTTTTAAATCTGCAAATAATGAACAGATATGAGTACAGTGGTCCCTCGTTACTTGCGGGAGTTACGTTCCAAAAATAACCCGCAGTAGGTGAAATCCGCGAAGGAGCCAACTTAATTTTTTTACAATTATTATAGATGCTTTGAGGCTGTAAAACCCCTCACTACACACTTTATACACTTTTCTCAGACAGGCACGAACATTTTCACACTTTGCTCTCGTTTAAACACTCAAAGTTCAGACCTTCGTAGAAAAATAAGACCAGTATTATAGAATGAAACCGCGCAAAACGTTTCGTCGACATTTTTGTGTTTGTTGGGGAGAAAACTTACAAACATACTATGCATACATGCTAGCGAACGAAGATTTATCTAAATTTGACAAGCTGAACGCATTCTGTACTGCGCAGGACACACGGCACGAGATTGATTGCAATTGTCTTCAGCCAATCAGGACGCAGAACATAATGCGCTGTTAAAAAAAAAAAAGGAAAAATACACAAAAAGCAGCGAGGCTGCGAAAGGTGAACCGCGTTACAGCGAGGGACCACTGTAGTGCGAAATTAATCAGTGGTCTGCAATCGTCTTCATCTCTTTAGGTGTTCCTCCCGGTGTCGTCAACATCGTATTTGGCAGTGGTCCAAGAGCCGGTGACGCGCTTGTTAGTCACCCTGAGGTCCCTTTAGTCTCCTTCACTGGGTCCACAGCCACTGCCCAGCGCATTACCGAGCGGAGCGCCCCCTACTGTAAGAAGCTCTCACTGGAGCTGGGAGGCAAAAACCCAGCTATTATTTTTGCTGACGCAGACTTAGACCAGTGCATCGAGACCACCGTCCGATCCAGCTTTCTCAATCAGGTGAAGACAAAATGTGACTGAGGATATATTTTTCTTTAGGACTGTTTAGCTTTATTAATTTTATTTATGGGTACCATCACTTTTAGTTTTGGCTTTTATATATTATAAACTCAATTGACAGGACAGCTGCCCGAGAGTCTTTAGAGCTTCTGTGTCCACAGATTGTTATTTTAACTGGAAATTTGTTGGGGAATGTGCAGCAGTGAAGCACATTTTTACAGAACGAAAAGTTCAAGAAATCATTTCTTTATTACAAGGTTATTAATCTCATGCTCTCCAGATCATAGCTGGAAATGTTTGTTGTCAGTTTAGAAGTGTTAAAGTTAATCTTTTTTTTTGTACTGAAATGTGACGGTAGGTGTTTTGAATATACGTTAGACTGCAGAATCCGTCACAACCTAACTTGATGAGTTTGATTTGATATGTATAAATTGCCGGTGTGCAAAAAAACTGTAAAACAAAGCCCAGAAGGTCCATTTTTAATACATACTTAACGGGAATTTTTTTTTTCAAATTTTCTTTCATTGAACTTCTTAATGCAAATGAAATGAAGGTGATTATCTGTAACAGGAGCTTCTGTATGTGTTGAGGGTGTAATAACATAGTTTGTCCACAAGGGGGCAATCACAGCCCAACTTTTTGTCTTAAGGTGGGTTGTCAAAAAACAACTTTCTGAATTCCTCCATTTTTATCTTCTCCATTTCTTCTCCTCTTAGGGTGAAGTCTGCCTGTGTACCAGCAGGATTTATGTAGAGAGGAGTATTTACTCGGAGTTCCTGGAAAGGTTTGTGGCTGCGGCTAAGAAGTGGAAGACTGGTGTCCCCTCTGACCCCAGCAGCAAAAATGGAGCGCTCATCAGTAAAGAACACCTGGAGAAGGTGCTTACATGTAATGCAGAATGTGACTAAACACTTGTTGTTTAAATTTCTGATGTCTGATGTCTCTGATGTCTCCTTTCAAATCCAAAGGTTCGTAGCTATATAGCCCTTGCCAAATCAGAAGGTGGCATAATTCACTGCGGTGAGGGGCTCGACCAGCTGGACCTCCCGCAGCGCAACAAGTCTGGATACTTCATGCCGACGACGGTCATCACAGGCATATCTGACAGCTCCCGTGTCATGCAGGAGGAGATCTTTGGTCCCGTCACCTGTATCAGCCCCTTTGATACTGAGGATGAAGCTGTTGCCAGGGGCAATGGTGTACGTTACGGTCTGTCAGCCACAGTGTGGTCCAAGGATGTGGGGAAGGTTCACAGGGTGGCCCAGCGGTTGCAAGCAGGTCTGGTGTGGACCAACTGCTGGCTGGTGAGAGATCTGAACCTCCCATTTGGAGGAATGAAGAACTCTGGTGTGGGAAGGGAGGGAGGAAAAGATTCCTATCACTTCTTCACAGAGGTGAAGAGTATCACTATCAAGCACTGAGAGAGGAAAGTTTGTTTATTTGTAGAATACAAAAGTCAAAAATGTCTGGAGCGACAAATATAAGAAAACAATCAAATCCAATATAAATTTGCCACCATTTGCCAATAAAGTTGCTGAAATTGCAGTTTATGTTCATTATTTATGGATGAATTGTCAACAAGCCTAAATTTGCAAATGAAAACAACAAAAACTGCTCTTGAGCTTCAGAAATAATCTGTGTCTGTGTGCGCTATAGCCAACCAAAACTTAACAGTACAATTTGTAAATATAGGAACCGCCATTTCCCCAAAGACAGTTTGTCATGCTTCCTGCATGATGACATAAAGATATTTAAAAAGAAGGGGAAAAATGCACTCATCTTGTTATTCACATTTAGGTATCCATGCGCTTCAGGCTGAAAAACCCAGTGACTGAATACGTGTAGCTGAATCTCGTCAGAACAGTGTGTTATGATGGCAGGTTGTGGAGTTCAGTTTGTTTTTAATCTTTACTTTCAATGATGTCATTGTCTTAATAAAATCTGTAACACGGTCTGTAAAAAATGCTGCATTTCTGGTCTGATCGAACTGTTAGAAACAGTTTTACTAACAAACTTGTTGTCTCTTGTACATTTGTGACATCATTTGTCTTTATTTTTCTAAACCGTTCAAACCTCAAGGTCTGCAAACATACTCATAAGTAACTGTTTGACACAGACATGTTTTTATCTCTCAGCTGCTGACGTAGGAGAGGTGAGTAAATGACGAATAGACTCTCCTGTGTGGTTATTGGACAACGTGTTTGAAGATAGAACTGGGCTGGTGGAGACGATTGCTTTCTGGTGCTCTACCTGTAGTGTGTGTGTGTGTGTTTACATTTTTTAAAGGATTATGAGACAAAGATGAATACTGATACTCTTTACAGTGAAGAGAATGTGAAATATTATACTACACTAAATATTTAACTGGCTGCTGCATGTCACATGGCAAATGTATTTCAGTTTATCTACTGTGCACCACGAAACTGCTGGGTCCAAAGTTGGAGGCACTGACGTCAGTTGAATATGGGCGAGGCTACTGCAAGCATCTCACTAATGATTGTCAGATAAACCCCAAACGTTCTGTTTTGCATGGTTTCCTTTTATGGAAATGATCCCGGCTGCTTCTGCTGGCACAGGTGGTTCTCCAAAGCTACAAATACCTCTGGAAAGGTATCAAAATATACAATATACTGCCAGAAGTATTCAGTCACCCATGCAAATCATTAAATTCAGGTGTTCCAAACACTTTTGTGGCTGCTTTCAGGAGAGTACAAATCACAGAGTGGGGTCAGTGGTGCACAGAGGTCTAAACTTTCTGCAGAGTCAATTGCTGCAGAGCTCTAAACTTACTGTGGCCTTAAGATTAGCTCAAGAACAGTGTGTAGAACACGTCATGTAATGGGTTTCCATAAAGGTCCATAAAGACATGGATGAGTCCTGACCGCAGCCTCTGCCATTAATTAGAGGACAGGAAAGTCTTCCCAGAAGAGTTGAAGCTGCAAAAGGTGGGCCAACATTATATTATAAACCTATGGACTAAGAATGAGATGTCACCCAAGTTCATGTATGTGTGAAAGCAGCAAAGCGAATACTTTTGGCAATATAGTTTATCGTGTTCACTCATGTCATTGTGCTTACATCTATTAAATCACTATATAGACCAACTGTAGTACAACTGAGGGTGATCAAATCAGCAAAAGAGAGATGATCAGCACTGGTTAAATTTTAAAGTTCCACAGCAGTACATCCAAAATGTAAAACATCCTGAAATAAGAGTCTGAAAGTAAGTAGAGGCAAGGCAGAATAGATGTGTGTGTGAATGGGAGTGAGGTAGGTGGAAAGGAGAGGCTGCAAAGAGTAGAGGCAATGATGGTGAATAAGTTTAAATACCTGGTGTTCAACCATTCAAAGGGAAGTTTTGGACACAAAGTTAGAGAGACAGTGTTGGTTTTGACATCTTCAGAGGAGGGATAGTATTGGGCAAAGCATGTTGACTATGGAGCTGCCAGGTAGGAGCAAAAGAGGAGAGACAGAACCAAAGCTCCATCTATGACATCTAATCCATGCTTTCTCTTTGATATATAAAATAATACTAATAGAAACTTAGAAAGGTAAATTCTGGGTACTAGAAACTTTACATAGCAGGTAACTAAACATGAGTGATGTGACCTCCACTACAATTAAGATTATATAATAATATCTTTCCATGCTAATCATCTGATCAGTGGTGCAGTGTATATGCAGATAATTACGTGTGATGTTGCATTTCCTTTCAATTCAGGAGTGGTGCCAGTATAGGAAAAGTGGGCACGCTGGAGGAGGGGAGGCGGGGGGCCCTATCCTTTTAGCAAGTGTGTACAATCACGTCCCCTGGAGAGCTCTATGTGACACTTAGCACAGAGCCAGGGTGTGGGTCCCACCCTCTGTGTTTTGGCTAGGGACCGGGTATTGTGCTGTGTCACGGTGTATGCCTGCACACACACACTGTGATGCCTTCCTATACATAGTGTCAAAGTGGATGCCATCCAAAAGTAAGGCTAAGGTGTCAGAGGCTACTTGCTTTCCACTGGCACACACTCCCACCAAACAGGCGTGATGTGTGAAACAGAATGGGAACGCAGTAAGTCAGCATTTATTTCATTTTGCTCCGTTTCCGCCCTTTTTGCTGGATTTATCTTTCATCTTGCCTTTTGTGAAGGTTTCATTGAGAAGGAAAGGCCCCGCTGTAGAAGGACTCGCCCCGCCGTACGTGACTTTGAGAACGCTGCCAATGCCCATTTGAGAAAAAAAAAAACCCCAAAACAAAACAAAGGAAATGTTAATGTCTGTGTTGATTGATTGATACTTAAACATTATAATTATATTACATAAGAAAAAATAGCAAAAAGGGGCTTGGTTCATGAGTAAATCATTGTTTAAGATGTTATCGATACATTTTTACTTTTATAGGGAGCCTTTAACTTTCACTTTAGTTACTGGGCACTTGAAGGAACGATGGTGGCGTCCTTCCATTTTATATCCACAAGTTTTCTGCAATATTTAGCAGAATATATAAACAATCTGTTTTCATGCTGGCTGCAGGGATGTGAGAGGCCTCCTGCAGAGGGGCTTCGCACTCATATGTATGTGCTGAGAACAGTAACAGCCAGCAGCAGTTCTCTCACCTATTCTGGCTCAAACCCAGCACAATAAATCTGTGAAAACTTCTCTTAGCTTCTCTCTTAGTAATTAAAACACAGACACACACACAAAAGTAATTCAAGTTCCCATTTGAAGAGCAGAATGTGAATGTGTGTGCATGACAAAAATCAGAGACCTATAGCAAGAGAGACTGACCTGGGATTATTGCATGTCCCAGATTTTGCAGATTAAAAGCTTTTGGTTTTCCTTTTTTCTTTGATTGCCATGTTTCACACCCTGTCGATAAAAGCCTTCTGTCACGTTTGGGTTTAGGGAATTTTCCACTGCCTGGTCGGCTTGGGTTTTGTGGTAGATAAAGCCCCGAGATGAAGCCGAGTCCTGAGAAAATGCTGCAGTTCAAGCAGGTTAAGCAAACTCAGCCAGCAAACCTCATGTGTATGTGGAGACAGTGGGAGGGAGGGTGTTACTTGGCTACAGAAGGCTAAATGTTTGCGCTGCATGTCCGTCTCCATGAAGACTACACTATTCACAAGCAAGACAGGAAGAATAAGAATGATCAGCAGTTATTTGCTCTTCATGTGACGCTGAAACCTGAATGGGCTGCTGGGACTGAATGATGTTTTGTTTTAAAAATAAGCTAACCCATATACCTGTGTATTGCATTCTTAATTATACATAGCACATTTTATCATATTAAACCTAAACTCAATATGCTTAACATGTACTTGTATTCATTTTAAACATCTTTAAAATGTTAAACATTAAAATATTGACCATGATTCCATGGGGTACGTTTGCCCGGTTGAGTCAGGAAGGACTGCCAACCTGAAAATCTGCCAAATCAAACATACGGAGCAACCTGCTGTGGCTTAGACCTGTTCTTCTTCTGGACAAATTCAGGGAGCAACTGAAAGTAGCTTCAACTCATCAGCTGAAACTCAACCCTTTTTCTTAGCCCACGTTTGTCCCAGTGCAAAGTTGGTGCATATAGTTATCAGCGCTTTACACCCAGATTTTAATGCTTAATCAGACCAAGCTGCCATGGCGACAGCGTCTTGCTGAACTACTACTGCTCAGATTTAAATGGCACTTCTTGCTTTTCTGTGGCGTTGTGCTTTATTTTCCTGGATTGCGGTAATATTTCCAAAAAACCTGAACTCGAGGTACACGGTGGTTGGCAGGAACGCTGTGGCCTAGATCTATTCTTCTGGACGAATTGAATTAGTGATGTGTTTGTTCTGATTATATATTACAGCATTATGCTTATTAGAGCCAGTATGTCATTTTACCACTGAGCACGCATCTGCTTTGTACTTTCTTGCATTTTTTTCATTGAATAAAGAGATTTTTTTTAAAGTATGCTTTCAGCTCATATCTGCTCCTGGACTTAATAGTAAAATTAGACCATGATGTTATTATGAGCACAGGAACAACAGGATGTATTTTTCTGCACTGAAAAACAAAACAGGTAGGCAGTGTGTGTATGGCCAAGACTCTTAAGAGTCTTAAGAAGTAGACCAAGACTTTGGGTCTTTTATACATTTGTACTAATAACTGTTTTGGATCTTCCTCAGCCTACATGTTTGCTCCCAGACTATTGTTTGGACAAAGTGTGTTGAGCACAGTTCAAAAATTGCATCTAAACTAGTTTGGCATTTACGGTCCTCAGACAGCTATAATTCTTACCTTCAAATAGGTTTTGCTCATTATCACTAACATCTCACCACTGGGAATCCTACATACCCATTTTAGAAGATGAATTAGCATTTTATTCTCCTAACACCATAATACAAGAACAAATACAGCACTCTGTGGACAGCGGAAACAGCTACAGCATAACTGCAATTAGGTCTGCCTGCTGATAAGGCAGACGCATCTCGCACGATTACCATATCTCTGAGACTTTTATGCCCTTGCTGGATATCACTGAACAGCTAAAGTTGTTTTCACTGGCATTGTGTAAC